ATCCACTCGAATAACAAAATTCCATTAGGGATTAAGCAATTAAGTAAATCTGATGTCCGAAGTCGCGTATACAAGGAAGAAATATGAAGAATTATACATTAGGCAGATGAAATGAATATTTTACCCTTTCATTTAAAGTCCACTTTACCGTAATCTGACGAAAGGACCTCAATTGGAAAGAAATTTAAAGTCAAAGGATGTAAAGTGTCCAAATTAAAAGTCGGGGACTAATTTTGGAAAATCAATATAGTCGGAGGACCATTGCTGGAATTATCTCCAAAAACAAACCACACGCACGGCGTAAAGTGGGGGAATACAAAATACTAAAATTCCCCTATGACCTCTACATCCCAAAAGATAGCATGTAGACAGTGCACTGGTGCCGAGTGAACCCAAACAGAAACGCAATCACGGCCCTTGATCAGACAAAATGAAAGGAATATATATATATATATATATATATATATATATATATATATATATATATATATATATCTGTGTGTGTGTATTCAAATGAGGACAAGTATATTATAGAGGACTGTGAGGACAGATGTAGTGTGTGCCATAAGCCGGTATGTTGTGTGCATGGCCGAATGTAGTCGTGTGCCACAGTTTGTATGTCGCATGCTAGATTTGTTAATTTATAGAGCCTGAGTTCGAAACCTGATGTTTACATTTATTCTTATGTGCCATTATGTATTAAGTTGTGTGCTTGGTATTAATTTGTTGTGTGCCCGTTATTTGTCCTCACAGTCCTCTATATATTGTTGTCCTCATTTGAACTCAACCCTATATATATATATATATATATATATATATATATATATATATATATATGTGTGTGTGTGTGTGTGTGTGTGTGTGTGTGTGTGTGTGTGTGTGTGTGTGTGTGTGTGTGTGTGTGTGTGTGTGTGTGTGTGTGTGTGTGTGTGTGTGTGTGTATATATATATTTATTTATTTATTTATATATTTGGTTGTACATCCATTTTTGGGAACATATAGAATCTTAGAGGAACACAGAATATCGGTGTGAAAAAGTCTCAATATGAGAGTCCTAAACCATAGAGGAATCTGGAAGATATTTGAGAAAAGTCAGACATGTAGTCTGAGAGAGGTCTGAGATGAAAGTTCTTACACTGTGTTATTTTCCGTATAGAGAGAGTAAGCAAACCAAATATTATGAAAAGGAAGAGGGCTTTAAATAGCCTGAGTACACCAGCTCTTAAGCTAATAATATGGAGAATAATCTAACGCTAATAATATGGAGACTAACTCTAACAGAGCCAGACAAAGTCTAACCACATAAAATAAAGTAAAATAAACTGAACTAATATACTAATCCTTTACACGCCCCCGCAAGATGGTGGATCCATCGGAGACACCCAGCTTGGAACGGAAGCCTTCAAATGACCGACGCAGTTGTGATTTGGTAAGCACATCGGCAATCTGATCTTGTGTACGAATATAGCTAACTGACAATGTACCATTACTAACAAGATCACGCACAAAGAAATAATCTAAGGCTAGATGCTTCATTCTGGAGTGATACACCGGGTTTTTGCAAACATAAGTGGCACCAACATTGTCAAAACGCAACACTGGTGGCCTGGTGAGCCGTACCCCAAGATCGAGTAGTAAATTCTGTAACCACACAACTTCTACCGCAACATTCGCCAGGGCTCTATATTCTGCTTCAGTGGATGAATGAGCCACCACCTTCTGTCGAACAGACCGCCAAGAGATAACATTTGAGCCCAAGTATACAACATAGCCCATAGTTGACCGCCCACCGTCATGGACACCACCCCAGCTTGCATCCGAAAAAGCAGTGAGATGGAGCTGCACACCACGGCGTAAAAATAAACCATGACACAGCGTACCTTTAAGATAACGCAGCACCCGTTTCACCCCTTGCCAGTGTAGTAGTGAAGGAGAATTCAAAAACTGGGACAACCGATTAACAACAAAACTCACATCTGGTCGAGTAATGGCCAGATATTGTAAACGTCCAACCGCGCGACGGTACAAGGTGCTATCAGCAGGAGACGCACCGTCAGCACCATGCAGTTCAATCGCAGACCCCGATGTAGAAATGGGTTTGGCATCTTGCATATTAAACTCTTTAAGGATGTTTGTAATGTATTGAGCCTGAGAAAGGAAAATACCAGTCTTAGTCGATATCACCTCCACACCAAGGAAGTGATGCAACAATCCTAAGTCCTTGAGTGCAAACCGTGCTGCCAGAGAAGTAACAAACCGATCCAATGATGAGAGAGATAATATCAATTCAGTCCAAAACACAAAACAGATTACAGAGAGTATATCAAACTGTTTTATTTTGTACGACACTGTGAGGATGACCGAGCCTGCGATGCCAAACTGCTGGTGTAGCCCGGGAACTAATAAACGCAAAATGACTCCGTGAAACTGGTAACTTGTATAGACCGCCAGACGTGGGACCTTTAAGGAGCACCATTTTGGTTTTGGAATCCTTCACAAAGAAACAATTATCATGAAACTCAAAATAAACTCTATTCTCATTAGCAAATTTTTGAACAGAGAGTAATGGAACAGTCAATTTAGGCACATGTAAAACATCAGACAGAAACAGCTGTTTAGACACGGAAGGGATGGATGCATGGCCAACCCGTGAAATAACCAAACCTGTACCATTTCCGACCCGGAGAGTATCCGAGCCCCCATAATCCTCTGATGACGCTAGCATGCCTGCATCCGGAGTGGCATGCGCGGTAGCTCCCGTGTCCGAATACCAAGCTTCGGCCGGAGAAGCCGAAGCATCACCTGAGACGGCGATATGCGCCTGTGCGGGTGGCTGTCCAGTGTACTGTTCATAATAGTACAATGCGGTGTGCCCGAGCGCCTTGCAAATCTGGCACCGAGGAGCTCCTCTACCGCCGCGTCGACCGCCACGGCCACCCCGGCGTCCGCCATCGCCTCGCGCCGATCCGCCACTGCCATCATAGGATCGGCCACTGCCGCCGTGCGATCCTCCACTGCCACCAGAATTCCGGCCGCGGCCTGCATACATGGCAGTGTGCGAGCCACTGCCACCATCCACCTGCGGATAATCCTCGGACAAAATGAAATCCACAGCTTGCAAATAATCGGCAAGCTGTGGCAGTGTAAGCGGCGTTTGAGCGGTGAGCGACGCGGCATACGATCTGTACTCCGGGCGTAGCCCTCTCAAGACGTACAGATTCTGCTCCCGGAGTGATAAGGGCTGCCCGGCCTGCGCCAATGCCTCAACGAGGAGTTCCGCCCGCCCGAGGTAGTCTGCCGGAGTTGCACTGCCTTGCTGTAATCCTTGGACCCGACCAAGAAGATTAAGGCACCTCGCCTGAGTATTGGAGCCTAATGCGATGCAGATGGATTGCCATACCTCCGCGGCAGTGTTGCGACCAATTGCAAGATGAAGTACTTCATCGGCCATTGATGATTTTAAGAGAGACAGGATCGACTGATCCTCCTGCACCCACGCCTTATATGCGGGATTGGGAGCGGACTCCGCATTGGTGGTGCCGGAGCCGGATTCTGCAGCAGGAACGGGTAGAGTGGCCTGCGGACAAACCAAATTGCTATCAACGTATCCGATCAAATCTTGTCCACGTAAAAACGGGATAAGCTGAGTCCTCCAAAAAAGAAAGTTACGGGATGACAGCTTCATCGAGATAAAATGATGGGCGCCAGACAGGGGGTTCATGCCGGGTGGAGTGGAGCCACCGGCGGCGGACACAGTTCTTTCCGACGAGTTGGAAGACATAACTCGGAGATGCGTCGTACGGTAAGGGGGGGGGGGGGGGGAACTTTCGTGGTGGGGGTTGGTTAGGAGAGAGAAGATAGGACCGATATTTGGCTGATACCAGATGAGAGAGATAATATCAATTCAGTTCAAAACACAAAACAGATTACAGAGAGTATATCAAACTGTACCTCTAAACACTCCTAAGAGATAAGCTATTTCATAGAGACTAAGTCTAACACCACAAACTATAACTATAGACTATACAATAATAATTATAATAATAAGAATAACGCTCACACCAAGAAACTCTGTAAATTTCCTGTTAGAACCACATCATCCACATCATCCATAAAATATGCAACAACATCATCACTTTGATAGATAAATAAAGAGTAATCCGCCTGATTTTCGAGGCGATAACAGAGGATGCCGCAGAAGAGATTAGCGGTTGGATAGTGTCGGAGCAGCTCCCTAAAATAGCGTTGAGAATGGTTTGATCTTGTCTAAATTAAACCATGTGGTGTACTCTGGATTAGGGTCCTTTTGTGCTGTATCACGGAATTGAGCAGGAGCTGGGGAGGTACCGTTAATGAAGCCGAGTAAATCAAGGCCAATAAAAGAGGCTTGAATTTGCTTTCTCCAAACTTGAAAGTTGGAAGACGTTAATTTAATAGGGAAATTGGCTGGGGCAGTGAGTTGAATGACTTGTTTCTCTGTAGTTGTGGCCATTTAGAGGAAGGCAGGGAAAAAAAAATTAATTTGCTCGTTAGAGTGTGGCTCTGGATACCATATAGAGAGAGTAAGCGAACCTAATATTATGAAAAGGAAGAGGTCTTTAAATAGCCTAAGTACACCAGCTCTTAAGCTAATAATATGGAGAATAGTCTAACGCTAATAATATGGAGACTAACTATAACATAGCCAGACAAAGTCTAACCACATCAAATAAAGTAAAATAAACTGAACTAATATACTACTCCTTTACATGCAGTACACACTGAAGAATATATCTTTAGATAAAATTCTCAGTTACACAACTTAACATGAAAATTCTTGATAGAGCAATTCGAGATTTCTGTATATCTTGTTGTATCTAATAAGTCTTAATCGGTATCCTTGTTGCTTGTAACGGGAGATATTAAAAACTTACAGGAAAATGAGTACACATATTTTTTTTTCTATATTTTTTATTGTATCTCAAAAGGTTTCCAGAATACGAGCATTTTTCCAACAATATCATCGAAGATGCAAACGTTGAAATCTACACAAATTCAAATTAAACCACAGTACAACATACATCACGTAATACACGACGTACCATATTATCCGACAACAAACGAACTATGAAAATAAAATTATTATTAAACACCACAAAAGGCGTTGATGGGACTCTCCTCTTTCCCTCCTCCATTCGCACAAAACGTGAGAAATTCAAAGTGATCAAATGGCTTAAACTTCAAGGGGTTGTCGTCGTCCACCAACTCCTCTGGTATCTCCACTGTTCCTCGCAGGAATGAGAACAGTGCCACTGTATACTTATCTTCACTCCCTTTCATCATCACTCTATGCACTGGCGCATATATCCTCCTATTGCTCCATGCCTATACACGTACACATTATTATACTCTCATCGTTAATTGTTTAACTAGGACCGCTAACCTTAGTCCAAAATTAATGAGTTGGCCAAATAAAATCGAAAAATTTTAATATGATATTAGCTTAAAACCGACAAGTTTGGTTGTCACTTGCCATAATGAGCTAGCACAAAATTTTGTAAATTAATCTGGTAGCTCGAGTCACTTAAAGTATAAAATATACAAAGAATTTATATGTAAGCTTATTTTAGCATTTTTTTATTAAATTTATTATTGTGTACAAAATGAAATACTTTTTATGATAATAATAATGAAAAATAAAAAATTTACTATAATTATTCTATTATAGTGTAAATAAATTATTTATTTTAGATGAAATTTAAAATTTGAAATTTAGATTGTGCTTTAGTTTATTAAAATTGAAAGAATAGAACATTAATTTAAAATTTTCAAATATTTTAGTTTTGTACACCTTATAAGTCAAGTTTCAAATATTTTGGTTTTGTACACCTTATAAGTCTAACATCTCAAAGTTTTAAAGTTAGAGTCAAGAATTTTAAATCAATTAAGAAAATTGATAAGCCCAAAAAACCTGATAAGACTAGTCTTGCAAATATTATGTGGACCATAAAAATACATTTTTAATATATATATATATATATATATATATATATATATATATATATATATATATTATATATTAAAAGTACATTATTTGTCTACTGAATAAACATTATATTATACAAAATAATGCAATTTTAGTACTTAAATATTATATTTTCACATTTTATAATATACTAAAAATATATTATTTGATAATATAGAAAATAATGTATTTTAAGTAGTCAAATAATATACTTTTTTTTTGAATGTTACTGGCTTTATTACATTGTAGTATCTGTTCATATACTTTTTCAACCTACTGAAACACAAATAACAACTGGTAACCTTCCAAATGGAAATCCAATCCGGGTACCATTAGACCACATAGTCTTGGTCAAATAATATACTTTATCTATACAATCAAGTAATGTATTTTTTTGGACTAGTCTGAAATTTGAACGGATTGACCCGAATAACATCTCTACATTTAATGACACAAGATCAAAGGAAGAAATAGTAGATGGTTACGTACCATGAAGGCCTCGCCGGCGATAAAGACGATTGTCTTAGAAGAAGAGGGCTGGAAGTTGATCCACTTACCATCTCTTGTCTCCATCTCTAAACATCCGATTTGATTTGTATCGACGATGGCCATAAAGGAGTTGTCTCTGTGGGGTATATGGCCCGTCTTGGTTTCATTCCATTTTGGCATTCGATACTTAATGAATCGTAGGAGGTAGGACGATGATTGAATCAAAGGATCAAAGTACTTGTCTAATCCATAGCTCTCTAGTACCATTCGCATCACTACTTGATCCAACTGCCATACCAGTTTCGAGTACGAGGTTGTATCTTCACTGCAGCATTAATTAAACACTAACATAGTTATTAACAAATCTTAGTGTTGGGTAAAGGGTCAAATAATGACCCAAAACAATCCAGTGGTGGTTAGAGAATTATTGGGCGGAGGTTGGTGAAAGGTCAAGTCCATCAATTGGTGGTTAGAGCCGAGGATTGTTGGGGAGAGATTTGAAAAGTCAAGTCTATCAATTGGTTGCTAGGAGATTGTCGAGCAGAAGATGCTGAAACACTAAATGCCTCTCAAAAATATAAAGGTGAGTGATGACTGGTAAAGGACGAAGTCCAATTGTTGAGCAGAAGCTAATTACCAAGTCCAACACTCTACCTGTAGGCTGTAGCCGTCTATAATGAAATAAAGTTGTGCTTCCACTACTACCAAATCCACCACCGTGTCTCTAGTTAATTTAAATTTTTAGTTAAGAGCAACTAACGTACCAGAAATTAGGGGTATTATCTGCATCGGGCCACATCTGTTTGGAGAAATTCATGGTGGATTCAGGCGTGACTCCATCTTTAATGCCAAAATACTCAGCTAATGGCATGGAGGCGAAGTTCCCAGCATAGCCAAACCCGTAGATATCGCTGGTGTTTCGGCGCTTAGTTTCCAAGGGCAGTTGAAAGAGGTGTTTACAATGTTTGAACATGGCGTCGCGGAGCTCCCACGAGACTTTGTCATATACGGCGGCGAAACAGCCGTACTCTTCCAAGCCACGTCGTACCTCGTACGAGGTTGTTCGCCATGAGGTTGTGCCCACCCTCATGTTGTCGTCAGTGAACTCTATAATGGGAAGCTTAGGATTTGTATGGGTAGCCATAGTTTTCCTCGATTGATTGATGGCCAAGCTAAGTAACTGTGCTGGAGATGTTCATGTCTCCCCGCTAATTAATGAGTTTTATATGCCATGCATGCATGTCACCCCCCGAATTTACTTGGCATTGTGCACATTTAGGAGGTTGGACTTTTATGAGGTGGAATCTTCTTTAGATTTTTAATTGTTTTCAATGAAATATTTATTTAAAAACTATTACTTGTACTATATATATATATATATATATATATATATATATATATATTTTATATTAAAACTAGTATTTTCACCCGTGCGATGCACGGAATGGATATTTGGATCAATATATAATTATATAAATTATTACATCGAATATTATATAATGCAATTGAAAAATTGAGTTGGATCGATTGTATTTTCTGATGTTTTCAATGCTTGAATTCGATCAAATAATTGTCCAATTAATAGTCAATGTGTAGATGTACGCATCCGTAGTCAATATGTAGATGTAAGCATCCGGTGCTGAAACTTTAGAGATTTAAAATATCAGTGTTTAATGAATCATATCTGGGGATCATATTTAATTTTGAGTAAATTATTAATATTCATTACTTTTTCCAATTGGTCTAATTTGTTTCCTTACACATTCTATACATAATTACACATCTATATACCCATTGTAATGAGGTCCCATAATTTGGGATAAAGATGTGCTACAAAATCAGGCATAATTAATTTCTTTTGAATCATTCATACGTATTGCAATAACATTTTCATCTTTAATTACACAATTTTCCTTATAAATTGTAGATACTAAACAATTCTATTCAATTTTTCATTTGTAAGTATATATCTTTACATAACTATATTTCTAGTAACATATATATACGGATTTTTTAAAATATTTCTAGTAACTGTACATTTTATAAAATATATAACCGAGATTAATATTTTTTCATCCCGGCTAAACTTTTTTTTTTCCACATACTCGGCTAAACCTTATAATTACATAATCCTTATATTCTTAGTATAAATTAAAATAACATTTGGTGTAAAAATTATTAATTTCCATCTCGATTAATATTCATTCCATTTAGGCTAAACCTTATATTTCCATCTCGTATTTGCAAAACCTTTTCCATCTTTAATTACAAAATTTTCCTTATAAATTGTGGATACTAAACGATTCTATTACATTTTTTATTTTTAAATATATATCTTTACATAACCATATTTCAGCAACATATATATACAATTTTTTTTTTTTTTGTATATTTCCAGTAACTTTATATTTTATGAAATATATAATCGAGATTAATATTCTTTCTATATACTGAGTCAGTTTGGAAGCATTTTTCATTTTCAATCAATTATTAATAGTCATTTCCTATTTCAATTGGGCTAAATTTCGTGTCATTTTTATTCTCAGTCAATTATTCCGTTTTAATACATATTAATTAATTAGTTAATTATTAATAACAATTTTTTTTTTATATTTCCACTAACTTTACATTTTATAAAATATATAACCGAGATTAATATTTCTTTCCATCTCGACAAAATGTTGAGATGCAAACTTCATTTTACATTTCTATTAATACATTTTATACCAGTAATTTTTCTATTTTTAGTAACTTATTAATATTCAAGTATAAATATTTATTTCATTTTCTTATTGGCCTAATTTCCATGAAAATTTTTATATTTTCAATAATTTATTAATATTTAAGTATTAATATTCATTTCATTTTTATTTTTAATCAAGTATTAATATTCATTTTTTTTTTTTTTTTGCATTTGAGTCAGTTTCGAAGCATTTTTAATTTTCAGTCAATTATTAATAATCATTTCCTATTTCAATTGGCCTAAATTTCGTGGCGTTTTTATTCTCAGTTAATAATTATTTTTGTAATATTCTTTTAAATACTATAATTTCACCTATGAACACGGTGTGGATAAACGAATAAAACAAATGAATATTCAAAGTAATGTAAAACCATTAAATCTTTCAATTTAAACAAAAGACATAAATTTAAAATTTTAAATATAAAATCTATACTCTAAAAACAAATAATCCATACTCTAAAAATTTAAAAAAAAAATATAAGAACATTGGTTTTATAAGAATTTAATTATAGAAAATCAAGTTTAGGTCAATAAAAGCAAAATACACTAAATGGTACTTTCAAGCATGCACATACAAAGATATTTTAATCTACTGACATTCAATTCTTTCTCAGAATCAGAAGAAGTATCTTCATCAGATGAAGAGGAACCGCTTTCCACCACCTTCTAGACAGTTACTTGCACAAACTATCATACACAGTTACTTGCACACACTATTATAGACGAACACACACACCGAATTATATAATCACGCCCTTAGAAAAAAAAATAAAACAACGGAATATGCTCTCAACAAAAAATAATTACTACTTATTACCATTAATATTGTCTATGCTAAATATTACAATTTAATTCTAACCAAATTTAAAACAAGACTAGAATTACTTTTTAACCCTTCTGTTTAAAATATGTCCTTAATTACTTTATATTTCTCATTCAATCTCAACCTTGAATTAGGAATGTATTAATGGATGGGATGAAATCTTATGATCTCATTTAAGATGGAGATCTCTTGGGATCCGCACCCTATATATATATATATATATATATATATATATATATATATATATATATATATATATATATATATATATATATATATATATAGATTTTGAATCCGGTGCATACCCCTTAGTCAGCCGAGCCCGTGAGCACACTCCCTGATCGTTGATTTTAATTTTTTAACACTTCAGATGATGTTGTAATTAAACCCATTCTGATATACTATTGGGAGTAAGGATGTAATTTCCTATATGCATTTATTTTCTTTCCGTTTAAAATTGATTCTGCACTAGTGTGTTTCGTTATGTGTGTGGTTTATTTGGAGTCACGCACTCTCCTCTCCTCGAAAGCATCGCGGCAGAGAAGAACTCTGGAATCAATCTTCATTCCTTCATCTCGTCGTTGTAACTCTTGTTTCTCCATGGCCGGCTCTTCGTCCAGGCGGTGGAAGCATCTGAAGGGTTCTTCGTCCGGTGCTGCTCAAGGTATTTTCTTCTCCTTTGCTTATTTCTTCTTAGTTTTAGGTGGGTTTTTGTTTTTATGTTTGTGTGGCCAGGGGGAAATGGGTTTGTGGTTCGATTCAGTAGGGGGTTTGGGATGGGATTTTGTTTGTTGTCTTGTTCGTTTGGGTAGTTCTGTTTTTTTTTTTTTTTTTTTTTTTTTTTTTGGGAGGGAGGGGGGTTTCACAGGGGTGGTGTTCGTGCACTCGGTTGGGTTTGGGGTGGGGGGGGGCGGCAGATGTGGTTGTGAGGGGTGTACGATTTCTGGGTTAGGGTTTTGTTTTGTTTTTTTTTTTTTCTTTTTTTGATATGGGTGTTCTGGTGATGTTGGAGTTTTTCTTAACATAAGGGTTTTTTTTCTTTGTGGTTGTTTGTTATTATTATGATTTTTGTCGTGTGGCTTTTGTATGTTGACTTTCAAGTGTGTATCCTTTTTCTAGTTGTGCAAGTGTAATTTTCCCATTTTCTTGATAATTTTCGTACGAAGAAAGTGAAGGCAATAATTCGCGTAGCTCTGTTCCTTGCGTGAGAAAAGACAATGGGTTTTCTAATTACTAAATAGTTCTCAGATGAACTCCAAGGCAAATATTGAAAACAGATGAGACAATTAGAACCCCCCTTATCAATTCTTATGTTGGTAATTACTTTTTTTTTTTTTTTTTTTTTTTTTTTTTTTTTTGTATTCGTTCTAAACGTATGGGTTCTTAGTTTGGGCGTGGTTCGACGGTGTTCATTTTTTTTTTTTTTATGGGGGGCGGCGTATATGAGTTTGATTTTTGGGTTGATTGCAGCTTTCTTCAAAGGGTTATGGAAGATTGGCAGAAAAATACTTGAGAGGTGCATATAAATCTTGCTTATTAGTGTTTTAAATGATGTTGTTCCTTTTGTAAATTATGTTCTTGGGATCATGCATGCTATGAGTTCTTAATTATGTAAGTCAGCTTTTTTTTTTTTTTCTGATCTAAATTCCATGTTTTTCCTTTCATTGAAAAGATTATATCTGTTGAGGCAATTCTTGTTGTTTCCTTAATCTTGAACTCCCCTCTCTGTGGGGTGGTGTGTGAAAATTTTTTGGTCTGTAACTTGTGTTTGTTTTTTCTTTTCTTTCTGCAAGTCCAACTATTTCCTATTTCTCTCTGTTAAACTCTTAATATTGACAGGGAACTAAGGACAAAAATTATCTTGTAGTGTTCACTTATTCAGAGAGTAAATGAATTATTTCTGTCAACTCCTTCACCCTGTCCCCATATTCTTTGTTATTTGTTCTTGGGTGGTTGCATCAAGATCAAACATGTACAACAAAGTTAGTAATACCAATTTCTTTTATTAGGTTTTTCTTGCAGAAATTTATAGGCTTTATTTATGTGTATGTGTAGAGTTCATCTGAAAATTGTGATGCTCTACTGTTTCTTCAAGGTTGAATTTTGTTTGAACAGTTACCTGATGTTCCTATTTATGGTTGTTATAATTATATCCTGCTTTCTTGAGGGTGGTTGTGTGTTTCATCCATATGGTTAGGTTAAGTGTTGTTGGTATTTGCTATTGCTGGTTTTGTTGTCAGTTAAGCATTTATGTTGGTGCGCCACTGGTATTAGGTCGGTGCGTGTTTATTGTTTTTTTTTTTTTTTTTTTTTTGGATTTTTTGGGGTTGCGTAGTTAGGTGTGGTGGTTTGTGCGTAGTAGTATGTTACCTTGTGCAAGTTAGAGTGAAATTTAGTTGTTAATTGGCACTAGTGGTTTTTTTTATTTTATTTTATTTTTTTTATTTTACATTTAGGTTGGTGCGCTACTGGTATTAGGTCGGTGCGTGTTTATTAATTTATTTATTATTTGTTGGGAGTTCGGGGGGTACCGCGGCTACGGGTAGTGGTTTGTGTGTATTAGTTTGTTACCGTGTGCAAGTTAGGGGTAAAGTGTTTGTTGAGAAATGCCACTGTGTGTTTACGTTTTGATCGAGAT